GCGGTGGGAGAGCCCCTTCCCCACCCCGCCCCCCCCCCAGCACTCACCAATGAGCCCCGCGTAGGAGCCCAGGCACGCCTGGTAGTTGTCCCCGGGGCAGCTCGTCAGGGACTGGAAGGAGGCTTGGCAGTTGGTGTGGAAATCGGCCAGCCGGGACCTGGGCGCGAAGAGCAAGAGGGAGAGGGACGGGATTACACTGCTGCTCCCGGCACAGAACAACGCAGCAGCAAGGAGCAACGTTTTAAAAAAATAAAGGCGAGAAAAGAGGATAAACGGGAGAGAGAGAGATCTAAATGAGATCCGGACTCAGGAGGTGCAACTTCTTGTCTCGCCTCCGGTCGCCCCAGCCTGCCGGAGGGTCACGGGCAAGCGAGGGGTGCCTGCCTGCAGGTGGGTACCCCACTGGGGACGAGCCCTCGAGTGTGGGACCCTCGTTCCTCCATCCTTTACTGCTCCCCACCCCCCCAGCCCTTTCCAAGCGCTGCTCGACTGGCAGAGCACACCATAAACTTCACAACCTCATTTGGCCGCGCTGCTCCCGGCATCATTACACGACTGTAAAATTTCACTGCTTGTTTTTATCTTCCCTCTGAAATGTTAAAGCATAGAGTGCAATTAAAATGCCTGAGGTTGGGGGTTACATTTTCCTTTCTTCTTTTGCAGCTGGGAAGGGAAAAAACAAAAGGAAGCCTCGCAGAGACCCCGGGGGCCGAGATGCTCGTGCCCTGCCTGCCCTCCTGCCAGACTCGGCTCTGGGGGCAGAGCGAAGGCAGAAAGAGCAGAGATGGGGAGAACGGCAGCAGGACCAGGAGGAATAAAGGAGGGACAAGAGGAGCAGAGGAGCCGAGTTCCACTCCTAACCCGATTACTGGCTTGGTTACCCCATCTCATCTTCTCTCACTGCTCGGTGTAACGCACAGAAAAAGCACAAGGAGCGATGGAAGCACAGCTTCTTCCAGGTGCATCGGTAATCTGGCTCTGCTGACACAAACCCACGCTTTCCATGCGACGCTCTGGGGATTTTTCTTGGGATGAACCGAATCACCGAGGTAGAAGGATAAAGAAACGGGAAGGATGTAGAAGAGGATGGACAGATGGACCAGGTGGGCAGATGGATGGGCAGCAGTTTTCCAAATTGACTCAGTCATTAAATGAATAGACACGAGGCTGAATTGTGGCCTAGGCTGGGTTTCAATCACGGGGAGGAATTGCTGCGAAGCAGCCAAGTTGCTGACACTGTAGATGAGACCTTGCATTTCACAACAGAAAATCTCCTCAGCTCTTTTTTTCCACACTTCATATAGAAAGAAGAGGCATACATTATTTTCTTTAGCTTCCTTTTCCTTCCTTCTTAATTAAATGTCATCTTTGTCCAACCGGTGATTGAATCATCCAACAGTACCCGCCTAAAGCCATAAGAACTGATGAAAATAAAGGGTAGAAATTGTGTTATTTTTTTTAACTAGGAATGATTTGTTTTCAGAAGGTTTTGATCAAATTAAGCAGAAGAACAAATGAAGCAGTGATTGAATGAAGTAGAAGGGATCTGCAGTGATACCTTACATCCATCCAGCACTTTTCATCACACCCGATCTCGAGTGCACTAAGGGAACTGGGGGGCAGGTACCACCGAAACACAGCCAGTGCCAGGGAGGAGCAGAGATGCCGCTGCTGAGCCCGCAGCCAGAAGACCACTGCAGTTTCATGGGCTACGTACTGGGGAAAGGACAGGAGAGGGAATAAAGCACAGCTGCTCGGGGCTGAACCAGAGCACTGTATGCTCCATGGAGGAATGCAGCGGTTTCCTGGAGACTTTTGCTGTTTCCAGCCATCCATGACTGGGGCTTTTTCCAGGTCATGGGGTTTCACAGCCACCGATCCCATGCACATGAGTCGGGGCAGTCCCAAGCACAAATACAGGCTGGGTGGAGAACGGATTGAGAGCAGCCCTGAGGAGAAGGACTTGGGGGTGTTGGTTGATGAGAAGCTCAACATGAGCCAGCAATGTGCGCTCGCAGCCCAGAGGGCCAACCGTATCCTGGGCTGCAGCCAAAGCAGCGTGGCCAGCAGGTCGAGGGAGGGGATTCTGTCCTTCTGCTCTGCTCAGACCCCACCTGGAGTCCTGCATCCAGCTCTGGAGCCCTCAGCATAAGAAAGACACGGACCTGTTGGAGCGGGTCCAGAGGAGGCCATGAAAATGATCAGGGGGATGGAGCACCTCTCCTCTGAAGAAAGGCTGAGAGAGTTGGGGTTGTTCAGCCTGGAGAAGAAAAGGCTCTGGGGAGACCTTGTAGCAGTCTTCCAGTACTTAAAGGGGGCCTACAAGAAAGCTGGAGAGGGACTTTTTACAAGGGCATGTAGTGATAGGACAAGGGGTAACGGCTTTAAACTGAAAGAGGGTAGATTTAGATTAGATGTAAGGAAGAAACTCTTCACTATGAGGGTAGTGAGGCACTGGAACAGGTTGCCCAGAGAAGTGGTGGATGCCCCCTCCCTAGAAGTGTTCAAGGCCACGTCGGACGGGGCTTTGAGCAACCTGGTCTAGTGGAAGGTGTCCCTGCCCACGGCGGGGGGGTTGGAACTAAATGATCTTTAAGGTCCCTTCCAACCCAAACCATTCTGTGATCCTGCATCCACTCCTGGGACTGATGCTCAGCTCTCAGCACACAGTCTCCCTTGCCGGAGCCGTGCACAAAGCCCAGCATGTGCAGAAAAGCTTTGCCAGGGGACTTTTGCAGTGCTCAGCCCTCCCTGCAGCCAAAACCAGCCTCGGGTCAAGGGATGTTGCTCCCCACTTGCAAGGTGGGAGCAGAGGGGAGAGCCCAGGGTGGGCATTGCAGAGCAGAGAAGCTCCAACTCCGCTCCCTTCACACAATCCCCATCACAGGAAGGTATTGGACTCCCTCCTCCTCCCCTCCGTGGGAGATAAATAAAGTTTCCGACAGCATTTCCCCTCTCCTCAAATTAGAGGCGAAGGCACGTCAATTCTCTTAAAGAACTGTGGCAAGTTCATCACCGAGCGCCATGAAAATTTGTCACGCTGCTCCCTGGGGCCCTGCTCCTGGCTTGTAGCATCCTCTAAGGCAAATGTTATTCTTTTCATAATACATGACAAGCCAGCTGGTAATCTTTCCAGAATATCCAAGCCAGATGTCACTCTTTC